CAATGCTTCAGGACAGACTATGCAGCACAACCTTATTTTTTAACTTTTAAAAGTTTCTTTGTGACTAAAAGTAAATATAGTACTTGTATAGTTTCCATACTATTTTTAAAAAAATATACCTGTCTTGGGAAAATTATGAAAATATTTTCAAATTCATACTGTACTACCTTCCTTTAGAAGCAAAACTATTTTATAAACAAGGTTTAATAATATAGCATTGCAATAATGATAGTTCCACATATTTTTATTGCATTATGAGGATAAATATGAGTGTGGCTTTCTAACACTAAAAAGTTAACATTTCCAAATTGTTTATTTGTTGTAATGTTTTATGATAAAATATTGTAAGAATACTTTAGGAGTATTTTTAGATTTTTATGCAGTTTATTTTTCATTTTCTTTCACAGGAAGATAGTTTTAGTTTGTTTTCCCACTGGAGGTTTAATGCTGATAACTTTACCTATTTTCTGTTTCCTAATTAACCAGGAAAACTTTCCTGCAAGCAATACTGAAAGACTGCAAGACTTGAAATCAACAGTCGACCTGCTAACAAGTATCACCTTTTTTAGGATGAAGGTATCTTATTTTATTTCACTGTCTTGGAATAATGTAAAACACATACATTCCCTGATAAAGTCTTGTTTTACCCTCCTCTTGATCAAATACTGTGTCAACCCCGTTGATTAAGCTATGCTATCTTTGCCTGTGTTAAATGAATCTTCCCATATAAGGTGTATTGAAGAAGAGATTATCCGAGACACTTGAAATACTCTGATACATTTGGCTCAAATTTAGTTCTAAATTAAATCCATCTTAAATAAAGCTCTCTAGTAAGTGGGCATGGCACTTAAAATAAGAATCCCAAAGAATGGTAAATGGATATGGAGTTCACTTCTCATTTTAGTTTTAACTGAAATGTTCTGCTGACTTTTTGCTGCAAGAGAGTAGCTGACTTTTTAAAGTTTATCCCCCAATGTTAGCAACTTCCATTTTCAGCCCTAGACAAATATACTATGTCTATGTAGTATATTTGATCACCTACACCATTGGTATAATTGGCTATTATCTAACAAACTATGCAGGCATTTCTTTTTAGGTATATCTCTTTTGCTTTAATCGCAAGTTCTCTGCAATCATAATTTTGGCCAGGAATACCTTAGATAAAGCCTTTCCAAAACATACTTGCCAAACTATGGGCTAAAATTTTTCCCTCTTTGAAAAAGAATATTATGGTCTTTATTCAGAAAGTTCCTAGACAGAAAAAAAAAAATTTTTTTCTTTTTATTTGCCCATGATTTTTTTTCATTAGAAGCTCTAAAAATGATGTTTCATAATATAAGAGAGGCAGAAAACAAAACCATACTGTATCAATGGTCATTTAGATTTTTTCAAGTTTAATTAAAATTCATTTGATTTAAAATCAGGCTAAACTGGGTAAATGGCATAAATAGAATTTATGTCAGTTCTGATCTACCAGCAGTAGCTGCTGGAAGAGTGCACAGAAAATGACAGTGAGACCCAATCAAGTTGACTGGGATTGACAAGTGATGCCTGCCATGGACACTGCGGCTGAGGAATGGCAGTGAGGAGATGGAGTACCAGCACAGTGCTGAACATCTGGCCACGCCTCAGCCATAAGCTTAAAAACACAATCTCCTCAAACTTGCTGTTACTCTTTCCCCATCTTCACTACTAGCTAATGATTTGCTTCCTATTTCATGGAAAGAAAGGAAGAAAGAAAGGAGAGTGTTCTCAAACTCTGACCACACGTTCCCACCACCCACCCCATCTAGGTACTTAACACATGTGTCCATATACTTTTCCTTCTTTTTTGTTTTTGATGAGCATCTGTTATCCTAGACAAGGTCATCTCTTGCACTTGTGCAATCGATTTCATCTCCTCTTGTGTACTAAAACATTGATCCAGCAATCCTTTCCACTCTCCTGAAGTATCAATTTCCCTCTTGGTACATGCTATTAATTTCCTTCCCAATCTTAAAAATACCATTTGACTTCATTGTCTTCTACTACCCAGTTCATATTTCCTTTTAATAGCAAAACTACTCAAAATAGTCATCTATGCATTTCTTCCCAATTTCTTTCCTCTCATGATCTTTTGAACAATTTCCTCCTCCAATTATCTTTTTTTCTCATCATAGACAGTTTAAGTCACTCTCGTAGAGTTCTATTAGTTTTGACAAAT